CCAAAGTATGATATATAAGAAATTAATCGAATCTATACATAATATTATGGCAATTCAAAAGTAATTGTTTGCCACCTAAGCACTTGGAGAGTTCACAAATTGCCAAGGTGAGCAATATTTTTACAAAAAGAAAAATAGTTATTGATATATTTATGGAGCTATCTCTCTCTTCATTTAATATTTCATTTCTCTTTTATCCTTTTTTGTATTATATCAATGTACACAATAATAAATAATGTATGAAAAGTGACATATATTACATTTGTTATCTCTAACTTTTTTAATATTTATTTTTATTTTCTAATACTTCCTTTATGTTTTTGTTTTTACTTTTACATTTGTACGCAACAATAGACTAATGTCTTTGAGTCACACATATAACTTTTTTCTCAACCAAAAATATATCTTATTAAAGCTCACTAAGTATTTTTAACTCACTTTTACAATAATTTACAAATATGTTACATTTTAATGAACAATTTATACAAACACACATACATAATAACATTTTATCGCGACAAAATAAAGATGGAAATTAAAGAGAGAAAACAAGAAACGTTTGAATAGAAACTTGACCAAACAATAAAATCTATTTCTTAAATAAAAACCTTATTCATTCTAATTAAGTGAAGACCTATGAATCATAGGTGCAATAATTTACAATGTATCCTAAGTTCAAATTACTAATATTTTGCATTTTTGCTCTAGATCGTGTTAATTGAGCAAACTCTACTGAAGTTTACGTTATATGTTAAGAAATTTAATTTTCAAACTTGGAGTAATAATTTTTCAAGGATTATAAATCTAAATTTTTAAAATGACTTCGGTATGATTGTTTATGAACTTGACTTCATATCTTAAGATGAGACACGAGATACATTAAAAAATGATACATCTGAAAGTTAGATGAATCTTTGCTAAACTGTATGTTAAACATCATGTGTTCATCAACCACTGACCTATGCATTAATCAAATAAAGGTTTAAAATCTATCTATTTGTCTATCTATCTATCTATGACAATTCAACAATAGTTTGTTGCCACATAAGCACTTGAAGAATTTACAAATTATCATGGTTGACACTTTTTTTACAAACACAAAAGTAAGTTAATGCTCAATTTATGTAGCTATCTCTATCTTCATTTAATGTTTTCTTTTGTTTTTATTCAATAATTTATTTGTACCTTTTGTAGTATATATGTGTAGGAGCATTATACTAATGTTTAGAAGCTGACATGTATCGCGATTGTTTAAACAAAAATATTTGAATAAATCTTATTAAGTAAATTTTCAGTTTACGTCATATGCTAAGTAGGTGTTAGGCCATTACCTTTTGATTTTTCGTTAGGAGAAGAAAGTTTGAGTGAAGGAAAGCAAACCAAATAACGGGTGTTAAATGCAATAGAGAGTGGAGATACGCCGGTAGACGAAACTAACTATGTCAACAATTTGGTGGCCCATGTGATGTGACAAATGGTGCAGGAGGACAATTTAAAATTCAGCTGGCGATGTTACTATATGGGCCGTGAATTGGTGGACAAAGGTGAGGATTGGACAGAACAGATCTGGTATAGAACTTCAGTAGCGGTCTTGACAAAATGTGGGAGGAGACAACTTAGCAATTGATACATATAGAGTAAATAACATTTAAATAGATAAACTTTTCAGTTTTTTTAAATTATTAGCCAAACCTTTCGAACTACAAATGATTAGCCAAATATTTTGTATCACATCAAAATATTAACCTTTTTTGTTATCATTAATAATTTTGTAACTCTTTTTTAATTTAAATACTAAATTGGATTATAGACCGTCACGTGTCTCTTCCAACTCATCATCATGTTGTTGAGTCAATATTACTAACAAAAATGCTAACTGGGAGTTAACGTTTGGCTAATACTTTGTATTTTGAATTTTTTTGAAAGATTTGGTTAATAAAATGTATTTACTCTGTTTTATAATATACTAAATTTGGGTATCTTGATAGACATATGTTAACATAAGATCGTTAGGAGACTTCATGAACATTCACATGAAAATGAGGCAAGATTAGAGAAGTTGATCATCGGTATGATCTTTCTTAGCAAACACATGCATTTTTTTTTTTTTGCAATAAAACACATGCATAACTAATAATATATTTACGGAATAAAATAATTTGATAAAAATTCAATGGAGGAAGAATAGATCACCTCATTGGATAAATGAAGATGATAAGTAAGAATAACTTTTCTCTCACTTATAATGTGTACTTCCATCCCTTATTTTCTTTTACACTTGTTCATATTTCCCCTTATTTTCTTAACATTTTACAAATCCCGGTAAAAAACAAGTATTAATTACACTTAAAAATAATTAAAATGAAATTTTTATTTCTAAACAAATACCAAACATAAATGAATTTTAGAAAATGAAGGTTCTACAAGTTGTAAAATTATACACTAATGCACCATATTAAGATCAAAATCCGTATGTGAGTATCTTGGATTGAGATTCTAAAATAATATATAAACAACGACAATGAGTCTCAGTTAGTCCAAATTAAATTTCAGAAATTAGCAATTGATACATATTGTTTAAGAAACTAAATACAAATAAGATCTTACAGTAAACTCCATGAACATCCAAAGTGTCAACTTTTAATTGGGATGAAGAAATCTATCCAATAATGAAGTATATGTACAAAGAAACTCTAACTAAGATGTCCTCATCTGAACAACGTGGATTCATATAAGATAGAAAAAATTGTACATGGGACGTGGTCTACCTTTGTGACATGGTTTATGATTAGAGAATTCAAACATTATAAGTGAATGTGCCAAGTATTGAGAATTTTCAATATATAGACACACCACATACTCACTTATCAATACAAAATATAATAAATTTAGAAGGTCTAAAATAGTTTAAACATGTAGATAAATTGAATTAATGTCAACGATAAAATGAAATTCTCCGGCCAACGGGCCGGGTAAAAAGCTAGTGAGAATAAAGATAGAGGCATATTCTATCAGTTATTATTGACAACAAGGAAATTTATAGTAAGAGGATTTATTAATTGTTGTTAAACATTTTTTTTCCTTCACTTCATTGATCAGTTGGATGATGAGCCCATAACCAGCAGCTGAGTATCGATTCTTGATCTGGATATGAATGTATTCTAATTTAATTTTCATCAACCAAACTGAATCGAGAATTTCACATTTCAAAATAGCTAGAGACTCGTTCTTTCAAAGGAGGCCTAACTTTTTTTTCCTATGGATGTCTAAAGGAAACCTAACTTTGAGAGGAACTACTACTGCGAGCTAAGAAATTAACCAAAGAAAATGAGACAGAAAACGAAAGCTTACGAATAATTGAATAGCGCAGACTCCTTTTAATGGTAAAAATAATTGAATGGCTTGGACAGCTAGGCTGCAGCTTTGAACTATGACCATAGACTAAGGTTTCCATACAGAATACATCGTCATCCAGATGTCGTCGAGTTCCTTACAACAGCTACAGCTAGCTCTCTTATTCGCACATCGAAACACAATGACCATATATATTATTCATTTCTCGTGTTCACATGGGCATATCTCCGCCAAAAATTTAACCTTTTCTCTTTTGCACTGACAGAGACTTTGACGACTGAGGTGATGGATCATGAATTCATGGTATGGTGTGGAATCTGTCACCATCCTATGATCTACATGCCTAAACGGTTAAGCATTGCGTTGTTACATTTTGAAGATGGAGCAATGACTCATAATATGTGTAATTGGGAAACCCACGAGACTTGGGTAACGAGACCTCTTGTTTTTCTCTATTCCATCTTAGCACAAGACTCTAATGGGCCTATTTCGATCTGAATAATATAATAGGTTGATTATTAAAAATCAAAATTAATAGCCACCATCTGCAAAGATTCACTATTTATTATGCTTAAGTAACGGTTAACCTTGGTGGTCGTGGGATGTGTATTGTACACAAGATTAATTTACCGTAACATGCTCTTGTACTGTATCAAGAATGAATTGGTTCTAATAATTCTCATCATTGGGAGATACACTACAAAATAACATACATACAACAGGGGTTTTTTCCACTTTTAGCGACGAAAAAAACCATCGCTAACAAGCCCGGCAGCGGTTTTTATTACCCCTGCAAAACCGTCGCAAGAACAACCGTCGCTAAGTAATAGCAGGGGTCAGCCTAACCGCAGTAAATGGACTTGCGACGGTTTTTTTGCAGCGTTTTTTTGTCGCAATTGGTCTACTTTTGTGCCATTAGATACGAATCTTTGCAGCGATTCCATAAGCTTTCACGACAGTTTTGTAGCCCTGGGTAACTTTTTAGCGACGCATTTTAGCGACGATTTATTCAATTTTTAGCAACACTTTTCGGAATATTTTTAGCGACGCTTTTTAGCCCATTACTACAACCTGCTGAAACATTTCAAATTTTTCATAAATTTCTAGAACCCCTGCAAAGTACCTTCAAAGTCTACATTCCCCATTATCCATGCCACACAATGCTAACTTCCAAAGTACACAATATTATACACATTACTACCAAAGTACACTTTAACAAAGATAAAGTTCCAACTAAATCCATAATATTGAACTTTGACTTTCTTGTGAATCACCAACAACGATCATCTTTATTTTGTTTTAAAGGCAACCAAAACATACGAACCTAAGCCTAAGAATTGGAACCATAAATTAAGGGAGGTAAATACGAACCTCAGGGAGACAAAAGTGAGTACTGTGAGGTCCTTTCTGCAAAAGGAGCAAGGATATCAGCGATGAGAACTCATTGAAACTATTACTGTAGGGACATAGCTAAAATTGAGACCATAACAGAGTTATAACTGTAACATAAAGGAATTGTAGCAGCAGGGCAATAAAATATTAATAAGATTGTAAAATAGACATTAAGTTAGGTCAATTCACTATTGTTCAAAATATTACAACTGAGACTTCTAACGAAAACTTCAAGTACAAACATAAGACTGAAACTACACAATGAACTCCTCTTCCACATCAGTTCGCACCCAAGTAGGGCAATCTTCAACATCTAAGCTGCCAAAAGCACTTGGTCGAGACAATATCATATCCTCCAAGTCATCCTCCCCCATGTCATACGTGTCTCTAGGCCTAAATCTTATTACAACAGACCAGCCCATATTCAGCGGATCATCCACATAAAATACTTGATCTACTTGTGAAGAAAATATAAATGGATCATCATTGAGATTATATCCAGTATGGATAAGTCTGGAAAAGTTCACCGATGTAAAACCAAACTCATCTTGTTGCATGCCTAAGTGATGGTGAACATCAACCCAATCGCATTTAAACAAGACGACCCTAAAACTACCGTAGTATTTTAATTCAATGATGTCCGTTATTTTTCCGTAGTAATTCACTTGTCCCACTTCAGTAACATTAACAACACCACTGTTTTGTGTTGATTGATCCTTCTCCCTTGAGATAGTATGGAACCTAAGACCCTTGATTGAGTATCCTGAAAACCTTCGTATTACACGGTTTGGACCTCTAGCAAGACCTCTGGCTGCACCATGCGACTTGGGTAATGAAACTCCTTCCGAGAAGGCATCTAGTAAAAGCTCAAGCAATTTTGTAAAAGACTTTGCTGTCCATCCATTGAGAACTTTCAGATGATATAAATGTAATAAGAAAGATAGTTTTGAGAAAGATTTGCACCCAGGATAGAGTTCTTCTTCTGCATCTTGAATCAATTGTGCTACTTCTAGAGTATCCTCCTCTAAAACTTCATCTAAATCATCCATTTCAAGGTTTTCTCCCAGATTCTCCCCATCTTCATGGGTAGAATCTCCGTGGACAGAATGATCATTGTTTACTTGGCCATCGGCAATGAAGGCATCTCTAATTAGTCCAATCAAGTCTACCCCAATTCGCGGACTCGATTGAGTAGGGGCAGAATCTTGTCCATTATTCGTCATAAACGATGATGAAGGACAAGGTTGTGAAGTAGAAAAGGAAGGGATGTTAGTTCTATATGTCTCTCCATGAAAAATCCAATAGGAATATCCTCGTAAAAATCCATCGCAAATGAGGTGAACTCGAGCATTCTCACGCGTTTGAAAATTAACGTTTGCACAACGGATGCACGGACACAAGATTTTTCCTTCTGAAGATGCATTTTGGAATGCAAAATCAAGAAAGTATTCTACCCCTTCCTTGTATTCACGACTAACTCTAGACTTGTTCATCCAACTCTTGTCCATTGGATGGTACAAAAACTGAAAATTAGTATAACTTTAAATGGAAAACCAACAGAATGAATATCATAAGAATGGTGTTCTTTTTTTACTTTGTTAATTTATTCAAAGGAACATGATGGAAGCTAGAATTAAATTAGTATACTGTAATGGTTTGTCGGGGGAAGGGACAGCAAACAGGAGAGGGGAGTATACACTAGAATGGAGTTGACATATTTTGCTCATGTGTTTGAATTTAATAAAGAGGGAGAGAAACCAGATAGAACACACAGCATCACTTGGACAAAATGTATTACAAAAAACTGAAATTAGTAGTGTACCTGGTAATTCACGTGGCACTTGATTAACAAAGAATGTGTCCAAAACTTTAAAGCAAAGGGAAGCCCCTCAAGCAAGTAAGTTGTGCTTTGGATTTTGCTGCAAATCACGAAAGAAATGGGGGAATTTACATATATTCTCTTACTATTTCATCTCTCTATGTAAATTGAACGAAGAATGCTATAAAGTTGATAATAATGCTAATAAAAAGAATAAAAGCCTGAATTGTTACCTTCATGTCATGCAACTCAATTATGCACCAAGATTTTATAGATGGCACCTGCATAAGAACAAAAAAGACATTAAGAGTACTAGTACATTGGAACTATTTTGGAAACTCCACATATCAAAACTACTTCAACACCAGAATACTGACATAGAAACCCTCACACTCACATTAGCAGGGAACTTCCCATATTATGAGAGCCTTTGTTCTTAGCTTGGTATTCGATATGAACCTAGCTGTTTCACATTCACCAAGCAATTTGCCTTTGCGAGAACCTACACAAGAGCACCGATATAGAGTTAACTTATTGGATTTGGACACATTTAGAAGCTAATAGAGTTTAGAAAGAGACAAGCATGTTATCCAGAGAGATCATGCCTTCATGGACTTGTTTAAACCCACATGTTCATATCTCTACAGTGCATATATAATAGAACCATTCATACCACCTGCAACTACGTACATGGATAACCTATTATGCAAGCATTCATGTACAGATAAGTATCCCATAAACGTGAGTTTACAAATCATATAAGAAGCTTACACAAGAACAACTACCCATTATCTTCTCTTCCTTGCTAGCTAGAAATATACACCCCACAAAACCAACTATATCAACTCCTATTGTGTACAGAAGCGATTGAACTTATCTAACACTAATGAGAGCAGAGAATTAACGAAAGGGGAAGAGGGATGAACTCACACAAGTTGACGAAATCTCAGATGGCTGGCTTTTCTTTATATCGGGATGTATTGCAAAGATTTGTGAAGAAAACTTCTCGTCGCAGATTCACTTGACTCGGCTGATTCGGATACTACGTTTAGAGCTATCCAAAAGCACAAATAAGATTTAAGAACTATGTTACGCTCGATATCAGAATAAATCCAGAAACACAAATTAGGTTTAGAGAGTACCAGAAGAAATCGATGGAATGCAGTAGCAATCGATGATCAGTAAGAGGAGGAGGATCGAAGAGCTGGCGAGAGGAGAAACTGCTTCGGATGAGGAGGAGAATCGCTAATCGGAGAGCTGGCGAGAGAAGAAAACGGCTTCGGAGGAGGAGGAGAATCGCCGGATCGGAAATCGGAGATAAGCTTATGCCGAGATGAGTTGAGAGCTCTTTCTCGATAGTGAGGAGGAGGAGGATCGGAGAGTCTACGAGAGGAGAAAACAGGAGAATCGACGGCTTGGAGATCGGAGATTATGGCGAGATGAGTCGAGAGATCTTTCTCGATTTTTTTTTGGTGCACAGCTTTTTTTTTTTTGGGTTAAGTGCACAGCTTTTTCACGATAATAAGAAATGAGATAAAACAATTTTGTTAAAAAATGATTTTCCGTAAAAATTCAAAATTGGATTGTTCTTTTTCTTTTTTACAAACAAAAAACTAGGTTTTTTTGTTCCGTTGGATCAATAGCTGAACAGGCTACACGTTTGGGCCCATCAGCGGTTAAAAGATCCGCTGGACCGTCCGCTGTCAAAGGAGAAGGGATATAAATCCCCACAGTGGTTATTCTAACCCTTGCAAGAGAACCGCTGGGCTTGGCCCATTCGCTTGTAGTGATATTCCATGAATTACATATATTTCAACAATGATAATGAAATTTATAATATCGCAAAAAAAAATATATATCTCCAATGTTGCATAGTTAATGAGTATGATAAAGTGTCTAAATTTAAGTTTCAGTTAAAAGAAACATAATTACACATATTCACAACTTTATGTAAAAATGGCTATTCATTTAAAAACTAAAAATTAATTAACTCATTAATCCTTCTTACCAAAATAAATTCACTTTACAAGTTTTTTATTTAATAAAAAAATATTTCTTAAAATTATACACTCAATAATCATTGCTAAAAATTCATTCACTACTTTAAATCTTTAATATTAAACTCACCATCTCATCAACTATCTTTTCTATTAATAAGAAAATATTTAGTCATCAACTTTAGTTTTTCTACTATTTTCAATTTAACAACAAGTTCCTCATCATTTGTAATCAACCGATTTAAATAAAAAAATAATTAAAACGAAATATCTAATTCTTTTGATAAAAAGATCAACACCAATCTTTATATGAATTTGATTATAGATGTAACTAACAGAAAACTTAGACACATAAAATACTAAAATTAAGAATTATAGGTGGGGCCCACATACCAAATAAGGAAAAGGTAGAATTTCCTAAATCGGAAGGGTAAGCTTGTTAGGTAGCTGGGCGGCCATAGTCATAGTTGAGATTGAGAAGGCCGGCCCTTTAGCGCTTGATGCAACCCATCGTTGCTCGCCCTGTAAGTGGGCTCCATTATTTTCCCATTGCCTCCATAATGGGCCTAAAGTGGTTGTCCTGTCAATCAACAGTATAATTTATAGCTGAAAAGTAAAACTGCAACCCTCATTCAAAATTTCCTGCCCATAGAGTGATTTTAGGAAGCTGATGTGGCAGAGTGTTAAGCGGGAAAAAAAGAGTCCCGCCTGATTTCAGAACAAAAAAACTCTCCACTACCCACTTTTTTCTCCTTCCAGGCCCACGTTCTCATTTAATTTGTATTAATTTGTATTTTTTATTTCCGATTTCCCTTCCTTCCACTCTTTCACCTCATTCGAATAAGTTTCTTGGCCTTCAGAAAACCAAACCTTGACTCAATCATCTGGTTCTTTTATGTGCTTGCATCTACCTTTGATTTCCGTTCTCTAAGCGTTAGATCGGTATTGGTTTTGCCGTAAGTTATTCTTCCTCTTTCAGATTTCTGTTTGTTGTTGTCGCTGCTTTTAAGTTTTAGGGATTCGGGTTCTGGGTTTTTTTTCCAGGGATTCGGTTGCAAAGATTCATCTCCCTTACCTTTGGTTCATTCCGTTTTCTTTATTCTCTCTTACCTTCCTCGCTTCATTCTGTTGATTGGATTCTCTAGAGATCAAAAGGGGATTTTTTATTTTTCCCTTTCTCTTGAAAGTAACAAAGCTGCTTACTTTAAATTCCACTTCGCTTAAACTGTCTTCCAGAGAGCAGCCGACTGCCGATTTTGAGCTGAGTTTTTCCGGGCCGCAGAGAAAGAAGAGGAAAGAAAGAGACGTTCGGCGGCGGCGGCCAGGTACTTCGTCCGGGTCGTTTTCCGGGTCAGTAAACCGAAGGGCCGGCTATAAACTACCGCTGGCCTGGCGGGGGAAAAGGAAAGCGTAAACCATAAGGCCTCGCGGATCCATTTCTCTCGCCAGCCCATACTTCAGAGGCCCAGCCTACTTGAGTCTAGAACCAGCCCATCGCCGACGAAATTTGGCGCGCCGTCCCCCACCCGCCACCACGTATGAGACATAATCAATTTACTTTCTGATGTTAACTCTGTTGCAGGTAAATGTCGAAATCCAACTTGATCAGTAAGGTTTTCTCTCATATGTTTCTAGGTTAATTAATCTAATGGGACTGTCTATGATCTGATAATGTACTTTCAGCTCTAATCACTAAAGAAGTATAAAGTAGGCGGTATTGATAAGCATGCTCCACTGGTTAGTGTATTGGTTCTACCAGGCTTTTTTCCCGTTATTACATAAGATCATTGGACAGTTTTATCTCACTCCATTAGTTTGTTTTATTGTTCTTCAACTTCATTTGCATTGTATTTGTATTGTGACATTAGAGTTGGAATCCATTTGTGCTAAAAGTACAAAGCGTAAACTGCATAATTGAAAGAAGAGATAAGCTTGGTATAGTTAGAAGAACTAGAATTGGTAAGCACTTATAGTGCTTTTCTCATTGCCAGCTTGCTTCTTTTTCAAACTTCTCTTTGGATATGGTTTTTATGGATGCCTTTGAATTATATTTGTGTTGGCCATTACATTGTTGTCCTTCTCGCTCTTCCTTTGCATCCCCAAGCTTGGAAGCCATTCTGTTATATGTGTTTTGTTCATCAATTTAAATCATGCCTTATATAGTTATATTTTTCTTCGACTGTTATGTTTGTGTGGTGTGTTGTATGTGTCATTAACTCGCACAAACTTATAGTTGGTGAGGAGTTCAACTTCTGTTGTAACAATTAATTAATTAATTTATATGAATGGCAGCTGCAAAATTTACTGGAACGGGTGCATCATTTACCACGACCTCTATTTCAGATTGCATCAGGTTATTGGAGAATTTAATATGGATAGTGCAAATGTCATCCCATCTGCCCAACCA